TGTGTTTGCCCAAGGGACTTGTACTTGTTTGACGGGATCCCTGTTACACTTCAGCGCTTCAGCTGCTCTGGAGTCCAATACATTAGGCACACAGAGTGGCAAAAAATTGAATCGCTTAAGGATTTTATAAGCATGGCCCAGACATCTTTCTCGACCCACCTGTTGCACCCGACATAGACTTGCATACAGAATTGGGAAAGAACAAAGCTGCACAATTTAAACATATGTGCAGCAAGCATGCACAGCTCATGTCATATTTATCAGGTCACTAATGCACAGTGTTACTCACTCTGTGGCAAGCATATTATTTTATCTGAGAGCTACAAATTGCCATGTAGGTGCAAATATGCAGGGTCATTATTAGCAGATTAATTGGTCATTATTTTATCAAATGAATATCACTGAAAATTCAACGTGTTAGTGACTGAAAAGCTTCATTTCTCACTGCTACTGTTAAGATGGCCTAACAGAGCAAAAACGCATCAAATGTATGCTTTTCAAATGCACTAGTCACTTCAGCCGATCTCCACAATTGAGCTTATTTCACGGTGTAAGAATAACTCAAGTGATGACACTGCACTCGACGTCGCGTCCACATTGTGTTTGCCGCGTGAGCTGTTTCTGTTTGATGTGACAGATGGCGCTCACGGAGGGTGGGTCAAGGCGCTCACTGGGGAGTGACTCTGATCCCAATAGCAGTCGCATAGCCGTCTATTCCTGCCTTAACAAAAAACCTTTTTCTCGGCTCGAACACAGGAGTGAAAAAAAATGACACCAAACACTCACTCTGTTTTGATGCCAACTCCTATGTACTTTGTGATTCGACCATGTTCGATGACGGTTGGGGTAGTGGGTCGCTGATGGTGACACGTTGAGGGCTACCTTCAACCAGCTGCTTCTCGTTGCCTTCCAAGAAGACAAGACTTCGCTCCTACAGCAACCTGCTGCACTGTCTGCGGATATGGTGCTGATTAGAAATGGGCATCTTCATCTGCACTTCTTTGTCTGCACTGATGTCTCAACCAACTTCTCCTTCCACTCTTTGTTAACAGCAAGCTAATTCTGTCAACTGCGCCAGTAAAACAGTAAACGGTTAGGCGCTAAGTCCCGCCCGATGTGAGGAGTTATGCTGCCGCGCTGGGTCCCGGTAGAAACCCATTCATGTGCAGGCCGAAAGTGTCGCGAAGCAATCGGGAAGTCACATTGACGTTTCCATCTTTACCTTTTTGTCCCCCTCGTGGGGGTTGGTTTCTTTGTCCTGGGTTAACAGAAACCGGAAGCGCTCGGTAATCTCGGGCGCCCCAGCACTTTGCGGGGCGCCGTGCGGGCTCCACGGTGACTATTGTCAGGGCCGAACTGGTCGCACACTAACTGAATGTCGTCAAAGCAATGTGTAACGGAGCAAATACAGCGTGATGGCTGGCATGCCTCCCCAAGCTTGCTGCACAAAACAAATAAAACTTTTTACAACATTCACTTCTTACAGCAGTCCTACACCACTCATCCAAGACTTCGCAACTACTTGTTCACAGTGTTGCCGAAGTAAACACAACAAAAAAGCGGATCGCGCTCAATCATTGGGGGTAAGGTGGGTTAACAGCCATAGCGAAACTGCCCGGCAGGAGGGTGCCACCCACTTCGCGTAGTCACGCTGCTCCTGGCTTGCAGCAGCGTGTGCACATGCTATCCTGAAAAGGAAGCGCATAATGTGTTGCAGTTCCGTTTATTTCCCTTTTTTACGGTGCTTAAAAAAAAAAGAACAGAACAACAACCTAAACCGGCCTACAGCAGCAGCTGACATGTTAAAGCTAATTACTGAGCTGCCCCGCTTACTAAATACAGCAAACATATGCGAAACGTCATACATAAATAATGCAATATCTAGCGGAAAAGAATAAACATGCCATAGCGGCTCTACTCAGCCCACTTATTCGCCGAATGCTTAATGCACAATACATGCGACATATGACACCAAAGTTCATGCCGCAGGCAATTCCTTCAATGCAACGCGGGCGTTTTCAGAAACATGACACACACTGAGCAACATGTGCCATGGTATAATCAAGTGCTGTTGTCTCTTCAAAAATAATAAAAAAAACATGTAAAACAATTACATTTGTAGGTAGTAACAGAAGATGCAGAAATCGCAGTCTACGCGAATACACTTGATATTTGTTACACCACACAATTGCATCATGTTGAAAAGTTTCACCACCACTCGTTAGTGTTCTTGCCCAGCTTTTTCCAATATAACCATCAAAGTTAATCACGTCATACTTAACACTCGTTCCTTCATAAGTGTTCAATGTATTCATTTTAGTCACAGCACGCACTGCACATAACATATACGCCATGCCCGCTCTGGCCCCCTTTACTTCACCCTGGTAATGTTTGAGCCTAACAAGCAAAACTGCTCTCCAACACTGTAAGAATTAAATGGCGTGAAGTTTGACGCTATAGCCTTCATGTCATCACCTATTTTGCTGCCGTTAAAGTGGCTCTCACACTGTTGAATAATTTCATTGGTCGCCACGGTCAAATGTGTGTACTCAATGTTCCACGGAAATAATGTGACTGCGGTTATTATCGCGATGACGTTATCTTATACAATTGATTTACATGCCTCCTCGACATTTCCCTTTGGTGAAGGGCAACTCTCTTGCACAAGAGAGCGGTTGTTAATGAGCGTTAGCGCCCAGGCATCTGTGCAGTTCCAAGAAAAATGGCCAAGCACTGCGCGCAGATCCAGTGGTTTTGTCCCGGACTTTCTTCCTGATAACACAATTTAGCATTAGAAAAGCAGTGATGCCATGTATTAGGTACATTCTTTCTAGACTTGTTACAAAACTTTCAGTTTATTTCCTAGCGAGCGAGCGCACTGTCTTATACATTTATGTTATGCTATGCATCGTAGTTAGCAATGTTTGTTTCTTATTTGCAAAAGGAGGAGCCTCTATACCAATATAGAGGCGCTAGCCTGTACTGTTGCATCATGCTAAACATGAAAACTGTGAATAATGTAGGCATGACAACCTCTAGCTATTTTGATGTTTCAGAATGAAGGCCCGAATGAAGACTAGTAGCTTGTGCACAAATTTGACTCGACCACATAGCTAATTGCGTTGGTTTCTTTCAAATGCTTACAAATACTAGGAATGCTAAAATAGAAAATAGGACGCTGACGCAGATAATCAGTCAAATACTTCACTGTTCATGATGACCCAAATGTACGTTGTTTTTTGTGTGTGTGTGTGTAAAGCCAGATGATGTGCACGAGCTGTACTCACAATTACATCATTCCAGATACACAAAGTTGAACGTTAACACAAAACCAGCACCTCAAAATAACTGTTGTAAAAAATTGTGCGTCATGCAATAACACCGACAGGAAGTGCTTTTCTTCAGTATGCATTTAACAGTGTGCGAACTCGCCTGTCTTTCTGCGTGAGGTTGTTGATGTTGTGCTGCACTTGTCGCGCATTCTTACAATACCCTTCTGTGCAAGAGCTGCCACAATGGCGTTATAAACTCTGGTGTTCTATTTCTCTCCTCTGAGTTCAGGAAGGTGGTCCTCCCAGATTATAATCAGCACCCATGTGTCACTTTCACTCCAGTTTACCCTTGAATTAGGTGGGGTCTCATTACCCATTCCTGCAGCCGTCGAGGCAGGTGGCGATGATACAGCATTGTCTTTCATTTCTCTCACGGGCAAACGCAAACACATGAAGTATTTTTAAATAGCGGCGCCCCGCCCGACTAGCGAGACACAGTGTAGAAGGCATCTGTGTTGAGAATGTATGTAAAGAAATAAACAAAATAAATGAGTACTGCAAGGAAATAACATTTAATATTGCCAACATATATTATTATTGCTTTCATTGCGACAATTTAGAGCTTGAAGTTTTTTTATGACTGGCAAACAGCTGGGGGCGAGAGTTCCTCGTTCTGCAGCAAAGAGAGATCGTCGTCGTCGAATGTCCTTGCTGTCAAACATTGTCCATGGTTGTTGAATGCACAGCTATTAAAAAAAATGTGGGCTTAGTGCATAGACATGAGTGCACTACGCCATGGGCAACATGATTGCACAGCACAAAAAAAGCAAGGAAATAGAGAGGACACAACAGTGGTGACTTGGGCTAAATCTTATTAACGAAGACTGTTCCGATTCCATGGCACGTGCCTCTGTAGCGGCCACTTCTCGGACAGATGACGGAAGGCGACAACAGATAATGAAAGTGATATTTAATGTTTTAACCATGCCTAAAAAGCCGGTGCTGCCACGCGGTGCAATGCCATTGGAAAAAAAAAAGAAGAGGGAACACAAGTGCTCTGCACAGGGTTGATAGATCAGACAGCAAAAATGAAACTGCTGCAGCGATAGCCCCAATCAATGGTTCCAGCACAAAGGTGCTTGAAATATATACACCAGATAGCAAGCAGTTCACCAAGGTACAACTGCGCTACTTATTGTGTTCAGCCAAATACTCCATATCCGTTTCAATCCCGAATTTTTTATGGCCAACCAAAAAAATTGGTGGGAATGTTTTCTGGCTTAGAAGCTGTCAGAATTCATGCAAAAAAAATTATGAAGGCACCACGTACAACAGATTACCCTTGAGAACCACGTCCAGTGTACTGGACACTGGGACTTATTTATTCCAAAGGAAGTTGAATGTAACGAACAATGCTGATTGAAAAATATTGCTTTGGGGAATCTTGGGATCTCAGTTCGCTTTAAAATCACAAAATAGTTGTCGCCCGGCTTCATATAAAAAAATTTGTACTTGAAGCACGCAATTTGCTGCAAGGTCTTGCATCATTGTCTTTCTGCTGGTGAAAACATGCAAACTTTTGGTCAATTCTGGCGTTCACTTGTGATGGAAATCACGAAAACAGTTCTTGCCTGCTTTCAGACAGAGAAACACCTTGCACTTAGAGCATTGAACTTGCGACTTGGCCTTGCAACCGGAAAGCCGGCACCTAGGAGAGTTGGTCATTACTTACGGATCCGGCCAATGACCTTCTTGTTCAAAACGAACGTCCGGTCCGGGAATTTGGACGGCAGCCCTGTGGTGGTGTTCAGAATGACCACTAGCATTCGCAGATGGCCGTTCACGGCGTTTTCTTTCTTCGGAGCCTCTGATAAGAGCTTCTGCTGCCTGCATCCTGAAGTCTAGCAGATGCAGCACTTGGCTCTTTGTGTAGCCTGCCTCTTTGGTGTCTTCCTTGTAATTGAGCCAACTGTTCACCAAAGCGAGATCAGTGAAGTGAAAGATGACCTTAACAGACCATTTTTTAGTCTTTATTCTTATGCGGTAGAGGCTGATCAGGAAGTCGTCCAGGTCTACTCCACCCTTGTGATTGTTGTAGAAATGGACGCACGCTGGCCTTTCTACTTCAACATATTTTTTTTGCTTCTTGTCGTATCGCTTTGTGATGTCCACTGGTTCGGTGCCACAACACGAGGACAGCAGCGTAACTGACCTCGTGTCCATCCATTTAACCACAACCATTTTGCTGTCAGCGCTCACCTTCTCATGACTTGATCCGCGCCCATCAGCAAGCAGCTCTTTATCAGACTTCAAGGTTGTCCTTATTCGGTTCGTCATAACAGTACCGTGACCGAACATTCCTTGCTTCAGAAGACGCTCAATTAGCGGCACCGACGTGAAAAACCTGTCAAAACACGACACGCAGTCCTCCCAAGGAGGCATCGTTTCAGCAAGCCGCATGACAATCCCTCCGCTGATTCCGAGGTCCTTGTGCTCTGAGGGAATTGATGTCGTGGCACCCTGGTAAATTTCAAAGTCCAGTACCCTCCCTAGACGGTCGGCAAGCACAAAGTTCTCAGTCCAGTCGGGTTTGGCTTGCCCCTAACGTACTGACGCAGTTGTGTTCTTCCTGTAAACGGAACCATTTGTTCATCCACACAGGCTGCATGCGACCTCGAAATTATCAGGCAGGCTTTCCTCACACGATCTAAAAGCGGCTGAACCTTCCAGCATCGGTTGTTGTCATCTTGGTCGCTGTCATTGTTGCAGACGTGCAAGGCGTTTCCGAGTCGGAAGAATCGATCTCTGCAGCATGGCATCAGCAATCAATGATACTCAGGTCGCTGCTGCCCAATACATACGCGCTTGAGGAAACTTCAGGCTGCCCATTACGATGTGGATGCCGAAGAGAGCTTTGGCCTCCTTAGCTGTCATACCTAGCGTGGTTCCATTTGTCTGGACCCAGTACAAGTTAGTTCTTGTCACTACAAATTCCCAAAAGTCGTCCTCAAAGTACTCCTTAAAGTATGTCAAAGGCGTCTGAGGCTCCTGACAGGCTAGTGAAGCTGTAGCTTTTTCGATGTCAGTTGGAGCCGAAAATGCTTGCACTTTCCAGGACTGTGCAGCTTTTTGGCGTGTACGTTCCTCTAAAAGTGTTTTCTCAAACTTCTTGTTTTTGACATTTTCATCTTCACTGGAACTATCTTCGTTTTCGTCGCTTTCTTCGCTAAGAAGCGCGGACTCCGGTTGAAATTTTTCCGCTTCGTCGCCCGAGTCTGAATCCACATCAAGATCTGACTCGTCTCCAAACAATAGTTCTTGGATTTCGTCATCAGTCAGCGCTTTTTCTGCAAACAAAACAACCAAAGTGTGTTCAAACTTAGTTTGCAAGAAAAAACAATAAATTTTAGAAATTTTTCGATTTTAAGTTAGAAACTATTATTTTCTGGGTCACGTATTAAAAATCAAACGTTATACTCCGTTCACGGGTATTTTTCAACGAAATGCAAGCATTGAATCCCAGTGTCCAGTGCACTGAACATAAACATATTGTCGCGTTGTGCACAAACTACCCTTATTTGAGGCGATCTTTAAATAACATCATTTCGAGTTGACTTTATTTAACAAGACGAAATTTTGCTACATCAATTAAACAAACATGACTCTTTCTAAAAAACCACTTACTTGAGCGCGTTGCACGTGGCGGCCTGCCGCTGTAAGACGCCATTAGGGTGCCTTGATGCCCGCGCGCTCCGCTGAGGGTGAGGACAGCCGCGTCGTCTGCTACGACGGCCGCCATTACGGCTCCTGCCGTAGTGGGGCAGCATGCGAAGCGCATTACCGCTTGCGGTGCTCGCGTATGGTAGGAAAGAAGTACTCGTTGGCGAGCTTTTTTTTTTTGGTGCAACTTGGACACCTCTTAGTGCTGTTGTTGCCTAATTGTTAAATGGAACAACGCACGTCATACAAACTGGTGGCCTGTGCTTGTACAATGCGCCAGGGGCTGACATAGACTGAATGAAATGAGCCACGAACTCCCACACCAGAAAGATTCGCGTTAAACCGTTGTCGTCGTTAAGACGGAGGGGCGCATGAACTTTTATTACTACGCTTGCTGAAAGGAATGCAATATTTGGGTCTTTGTGAATCGGCCGAATAGCAAAGGCAGGAATCGCTGTACTTTATATACTTGCGTGTGTGTGTATATATAACACACACACACACACGCACACGCACACACATTATCTGACATTCGGTACCACCTTCCCCTGCCTCACCATTTCATGCACTGTGCAGGCAGCATACCCGAGAGTAACATGCTTTACCAGTGTACCTTTATGAAACGACACCCACGATTTCAGTGAACAGGCCATTTATTTGTGCGCCTTAATGCTGCGTTGTCCCACTAGTGAAAATCAAAGTCAGATACAAGACAAACCAAATGCAGTACGAAATGAAATGTTTAAAAATAAAAAATGCAAGAGTCAAAAGCGTGCCCACGTGAGCCGAAACCTTTTAAGCATACAGCTTATCTTGGCGTGTCCATTTCTCATGAGAGGTTGACGCCGGCACATGTTTTGCTTGCATGTCCATTGCAACTCCCGACTGGAACCTGCCGAAGGTGAATGCGCAGCCTTATTCTTGCGTACCTCTCTGTGAGCAGTCGGTATATACTGTCCTCGTGCTCCGCGCATACACACAAGCTGCGGCGGTGCACCTTGTTTAGGTATGCGGTGAGTGAACGAAGCGGCGACTTCATCGTGACTACTTTGTCCGTGCACCAAGAGTTTATGGCAGCAAAATGCTCCTCATAGTCTATCAAGGCTTTCATAACTCCCTTGCTGGGGTAGATGAGGTTGCCTCCATCTGAAACGTACTCTTTCAGTGCTGTCTCACCAGCCGCTGCATTAACTTCTCTTGAATCTGCATCACTAGTGTTCGCTGACAGTTCAACAACGGCGTCGTCAACTTCCATGGTGTCGTGCCCATAACACGATGTTCCTTGCCGTGTAGATTCAGGAACGGCGTGGTTTTGTGGGGTCTCTAGGGTAGTTTTAACTGCAGCTGGATATTGACGCAGACCAGGAGGAGATTTGTTGGTCTCGTTGCTGGAGGGTGCAGGCACAGTTCTTTCTTTTGGTGGCTTTCGTTCCTTAGGCAGTGCTGCAAGCAGAATGTATGTATTCATGAACATATTCAAGCAATGCCAGTTCATGTCTAGCTTGTTAATTTTACAAATGTAACACATGCAGCAGATACCGGCTTAGTTATTGACGTGAGGAAGACACTTGTCCTTCCCCCGCCCTTTCCACAAGGGATAGGGGAAGGTCTTAAAATACCATAATTAAATTGTGCTCAAAATTTCTCCCCACAATAAATGGCTCTAATTCAAATTGGAGCTTCATATGCCAGAGCTACACGTGTGCGCCGTTGTGGAGGGCTCAACTGACATTCGCTCCCTATGCAGTTTATTGATTATTTGATTGTAGGGCTTAACACGCAATACTTTTTTACAGACTAGTTGGTTCATACTTGAAAAATTGAATTACTGCACAAACTTGAAGAAAAAAAACAAGAGAGACAGGAAAGAGTGCAGTTTTTTTTTTTTTTCAAGCTTAACACGCCAACGCAACGCAGGTAATGAGGCGCACTGTAGTGGGGGCTCGTGCATCGTGGATCTCGTATACATAATGGTTTCCGTTTTCCCCCTTTGTAAATAACATAGCCACTGCACCTGACATCCTAGCAGTACACGACCGTGTGCTAAGTAGCGGAAAACTGTTGTGCAGTGGGTCATGCCTGTAAACACTGAAATCCAGACGTATATACAGTCATGACCAAAAATGCAAACAAGAAATATAAACCACAACACTCAAGTATCGCAATTTTTTTTTACATGCAAGTCAAAGTGATGCAACGTAATCACAAAAACAAAGTTGGGAAATGTAGCTTTCCAAACGCACTAATAGCGTGCCATTATTTGACCGTCTAATATTAGCAGTATTTTTCGATTTTGCGTGGTCTGGTTCACATTTTTGTGTTCGCATTTCCTAGCTTTGTCCGTGACTGCATTTCCAGAATTTATGCACTAATGTGGACGCAGCATATGAGGACCTATTTGGTGTTAGCTTCGTAGAAATCCCAGGTACATAGAGTACTTGCAACTGGTGCTGCTTTATGTAATGCAAGAAAAAAGTTCAATCTTACGTTTGAATGTGAACAAAGTTGGGACGGCATTTGGTTTCAACTTCTTCCAGCCATCCGCACGATGTTGCTCATAGTTGTTCTCTTCAAAGTGAGCCTGCAAATAAAACCAGAATTAAAAATTAACACACTGGCAGAAGAAAAACGAATGTCTGTCACTGTCAATAAACAAGATTTCATGTATGCATTCAGTATGATTCGCAGCAGGAACTAGCAGCAACTTTGAAGCACAAAAAGAAGGAAACTAATTGAGCTCACGCGCGCTTTCACGTAAGCCACTTCAGTGAGCGCGATCATAGACCCAGCCTGCTGTTATAATAACCCTTTCAATTTTCGCACTAAAGATCTGTAAGGATTCCTGAATTCATGTGAATAAAATATTAGTCTATTGTGCCGACAAAGGACCAGGTCTGATTTTATAGCGAGCGTTACAGATTTCGTTCTATCGAAAGCTTTGTACCCAAGCCTCCAAGTTCCCAATGCAATCGAATTTATTTGTCAGGCAAAATGACAACACTCCGTAACAGCGCTTGTTTTGTTCGTCACTGAAGTGTTCCTGATTCCCAAGTATACATACGACGATACACACAAGACGGGCAGAAGTCCGGCCTCGTAATATTACGAGTTTTTCGCAGGAACAGCATGTTTATGTTCAAACGGCTTGATTTCACAAGAGGCGTTCAAATTTCGACCGATCAGTGCCAACGCGTGCACGAATAAACATGGGCAGGCCTCGTAAGCGTTGTTAAATCCCCCTACCACGCACCCGAGCCTATGTTAATTCCCTGCGAGGCCATATGCGCGCATTTCACGTCCAATTTCCTCTTATGTGAATTACGTGAACTCTACGTGCCGTACTCTTGAAGTTCGGCATGCAGTCAGGCGCCGTCAGATTTCCGTACTCGCTCGCCGGCACGCGGCCTGAACTCACTCCCCGTTTTCTGCCCTTGCATATAATTTTCTCCCTCCTCCACTTTCTAAATTCTCATCTGTTTAACTACACCTCCTGCGTCCCCATCTCTTGCCTACTTTTCGTTCAGCTCAACTCCGCCAGCACCCGGTCGACGCGTACGCTGTCGGGGCGAGTTGGCGAGCGAGTACGGCAATTTCACGAAGTCTGTCTTCGGGCTGCGAGGCGGACGGTCACGACAGCGGCAGCCGGTCTCGCGAGCAAAATAGCTGTGAAGCGCAGTGCACGAAATTAACAGCCTCGGGTAGGGGGTGGGAAGGATTTCACA